TGTTGTGTGCTTTTCCTGGTCCGTTCAAGAGCAAGGGATTAACTAAATGGGGCGGAATGCAATCACTGCCACTGACAGCGGATCATGAAGATGCCCCAAAAGGTATCAGAGTGATGGCCATCTGAAACGTCCGAAGTTCGGCCGGAAGGCCAGAGATTCACAAACCAAAACTTGTTTTGAAGTGTTTGTGTCTTACAGGGCCAGGTCCGAAAAGTGCCACGTGGGTTTACATAAGCTGTTTTGTACCGACAATCCTGGCCCTGTAAGACACAAACACTTCAAAACAAGTTTTGGTTTGTGAATGACCAAGGGGCTGTCACATCAAAAATGTCACATATAGGGTGGGGGGGAGGGGGGGTCCTCTGAGGGTCAAAAAAAGCTTTTTACATCCCTGATTCCCTGGTGATAGAGTCTCAGAATCACGTTAAACAGCATTTTAAAGGTTTACGTGTAGTATTTCGAAAACACGTGACCTTTTGATGACATCAAAGCGGCTTCAAGAATCTCAATAATCACAAAAAAATGGTTGTATTAGGTTAGGAACATACAGAAAGTGCTAGAAAGCTCAAATTCACGTATATACACATAGCCATACTACATATAACTACATATAACATTTCTTATTGGGGGCTTGAAGGCCCACGTGATTACAATCTTATCTTATCGTGGGAAAGACCTTCCCGATAAGGCAGGAGAGGGGGGGGAGGGGGGGGTCTAGTGGGTCGAAAAAAAACTTTTCGACCCTATATGCATTTTTCGAAAAACGACAGCCCCTTGTGAACGACGGTATCGGCGTCTCGCCCGCGTGACTTCCAGTGCTAATAATACCGAGCAAAGGTCCGGATCCGCGCAGAAACTGGAGACTGATAGCCATTTCTTCATTTGACCCGTGGCTGGCCTATCCGTATGCATCGGCTGTCCGCAGACGCAATTATATACAAGACCAGCAGCATCATCCCACCTCCAGGCAATCGCAATCTCATCCATGCTCCGCGTCGGATCCCGGAACGCACATTGCGCATTCGTCGCGATTATAAATAACTATTACGGAAACGAAAACGCGATAGGTTATACATTAGACGCCGCCACAGTACGTATTACTAAAAGGAGACTGGAGCCGCAGATGTGTGTTGGGCTCCTGGTGCTAAGCTGCTTGGGATCGGGATTGGGAGTGAGACCGGGGTATCCGTGCTGATGCTGATCATGGATATCGCGACCGACCGGGGGTGGGGTCGGCGGCAGCGGCCAGCGCTATCTGAGCGCCGAGCCCCGCGCGGCGCGCTCCACCGCGGCCTTGCACACCCAGCAAAAGTCGTCCACCGCGTCGACGTCGCGCTGGATCTCGGGCCCGTAGTTCTGTGCCAAACAAGCCCGATTAGCGTAAGCGGCACCCCGCGCCGCGCGGTGAAAGTAGACGGGGGGGAGTGGGCCGCACCCTGGCGCAGGTGGGGAGGCGGCAGCCACGCTTGTGGTAGACGGAGCGCTCGCAGTGCCGCGTATTGCAGTCCACGATCGCGACTACCAGGTGGCGCTGGAAGTGCTGCGCGCGCGCGGGCACGCTCAGCACGGTCCCGCGGATCAAGGGCAAGAAACGGACACACCCCGCAGCGCGTCCAGCGTGTCCCTTCGCTAGCAGGCCGCGCCGTCAGCCTGAGAGACGGGGTAAGAACGACACGACGTACGCAATTCGTTGGCACATGGTTCTGTGGTAAGTTGGGCGGGAGGGAAAGTCGATAGAGAACAAGGAAGAAGCAAGCAGACGAAAGGCGACGTCCGGTATTTAACAGCCGGGTGGTAAGTTGTCTTCACGCAGATTCGATCGCGACTCGGTCATATTCCGACTAGTCCACGATACATGGTCAATTCTCTCGCCATCGGAGGCTATACAGCACACATGTTGTCTGCCCACTGGCATGTGACCCGCCTCGATTTCATAAGTTAACATACACGAAATCTACGGAAAAAACTAGAAAGCAGGACATGAACAGCCGTTCTGCATTCACGCGCAGCCCTTGCTAGGCACTGGCCGCAGCCTATCCCACCGTACCGACGGCTTATCGGCTCTCCTTCCACAATATGCCCAGAGGGACTCCCCTGAACTGATTCGCAACGAGACCCGGGGCCTAGCCAACCGTGGCCAGTCGCGGGAACGCACGATAACCACTCGAGCAACTCTGCAAAGAGAAGAGAAGAGAAGACGCGTCAGCGGTGGCCTCCCCGCATGCGACGCGTTGCAGCGGCCACTGGTATGAAGCACCCACCCGCAGCCCCACCTGCGCGTGCCTGCTTTAAATGCAGCAGGACAACTCTCCTTGACGCGTGTGGTCACCTGCCCGCTCACGCGGCGTCTGCTCGTGATCACGACTGGTGGCCAAGTATTTTAAGCTACTGAGTTTTCCGGAGCAAAAGCAGCAGCTGCAGGGCACCGATGCGCGAGTAGATTCTCCAGTGCCAGTGCAGAATCAAAACAATGAGACTCACTGGCGCCAGCTGAGGCTGATGCGCGGATTGAGCAAATGCAGCGCACCGCGATGCCATCGACCGTTAACGTTATTGTGTACGGCACGCAGTCGATCCCCTCGGAACTCATGGTTTGGGTGGAGGTTTTAGGCCATAGGCTAATGCGGGCTATGGGTTGAGAGAGGGAGAAAATTGCATCGTGTTATACACTACTTCTACCATGTTTTCTTTAGAAAATTTTCAGCAATAGAAGTCGTCATCCATGGTCAACATCATGAACTTTTGGATGGTGGAGCGGGACCTAAAGCTGATCCCCTCCCCTCTTCAAACTCGTTCATTTGGGAGCCTGGCCAGCGCTGTTCAGGCGCGCGAAGCACGCTCGTAATCTGTGTCTTCTCCAGGTCCTCGAGGGCGCCCTCCGCCGTCGATGGGCGCACCCCACCCAGCCTCCGTGGCGTGCCTCCCGTAGATCAACAGCGGCTGCACCACAACTCACTAGTACTTACATTGGCATAGTGTGCCTTCTGGCAAATATATAGAGCGTGCGAAAAGCGGGGTTCGACTCGCGGTCGAGAGTTATGTAAACCGCAACTGAAATTTCACTTTTCTTTCACGTTCAATTGCAACGAAAATACACGGGTTTACGGCGTCTCTGTGGCGTTGCGCCTGCGCCTATATACAGTCGCGCATGGTCAGGCAGGTGCACTTGATGATACAAGTGCCCAGCTGCACGGCGGCCTCAGGATGCTGTGACTATCCGTCCAGGTCGCGCATTGAGCATGCGGCGAGGACGGCGCCGGCCCAAACGCCACCACGGGGCAGCTGGTTGCGGTTGCGGACCTGTCCACAACTCTCGACTAGCACATCGGTGTAGCGTGATATTCGCACCATCCCGCAAACAGTGCGCGCGAACGACGGGTTCGACTCCCGGCCGAGAGATGGGACGTTGTAGTTTGTTTTTCTCGCCCTTTTGCCAGTGATTGAATATCAACGACCTTCAACTGTACATTTTAGGCATCGTCTAGTGTCGAGGCCCCAGTCCCGGTGGTCACGCGAATCGCGAGACGATCTCTGTCCTAGTGACCTACTCCACAGTCCCGATCTTCACCCCGAGCGCAAGAGCTTCGTTCCGCCACGATCGTGTTTTTGTAACGCACCAATTTTTGCTTTTACTGTTCAAAAATAAAGCGGGGATGCCGGCAGCAACGCTCAGGAGTTAGTCCCAGTCCCAATTCCAATCCTGATCTTAAGAAGCCTAGCATGATCCCAACGCACATCTGCCACCTTTAGTATTAGTCTGGTCTCGTTCACGTTGTGGCTCGGCATCTGATGGATGACGTGGTCCAATTGCTTCCGCGGACAGCAGGTGCATATGGGTAGGCCAGCCACGAAATGATCATAAATGAAATGGCTATCATGATCAGTCTCCTGTTGGCTGGCAGGACTTTAAGTTGCGCTGCGCGGATCTTGCTCGGTGCTGTTAGCACTGGAGTTAGGCGCACACGGCTCCGATGCTGTCGCAACATGCAGTAAGGCGCGGCGATATGAATCAAAGTTTGCGTGCGACAATGAGTCCCCGTGTGCCCGTGCACGGGGTTGAGCTTTGTTATTCTGTGCACGCAGAAATTAAAGACGGCCTGAACGTCTAATTGCAAACTGCACGCGGCAGATTCCGGCGGGATGCCTCGCCGGAGCGGCTGTTTCCGCCGCCGAGGCACAATGTTTCAACTAGCACTAAGTTAGCAGCAGTAGTACATCCACGTGCATCGCGTGACTCAGTGTTCGGCGGATTCCGGATTTGGACAGATGCATGGGTAGGCCAGCCACCGAATAAATGAAGAAATTGCTATCAGTCCCGGGCCCCGGTTGTGCGGGCTGCACATTTGCCCGGATCTCTTCTCGGTGCCATTAGCACTGGGATCACGCGCGCGGCGCCAATACCGTCGCAACCGTGCAGCAAGCTTAAGGCGTTGCGATATGAAATATAACATCACGTCCGACATTGAGTCCCCGAGCACGTACACACGTGGTTGAGCTTTAAATTGCGGAAATTAAATACAGCCTAAAGGTTTAAGTATAAACAGCGACGCGTGGTATTCAGATTCCAGAAGAAACGGACGGGAACTCGAGCGCGGTAGATGCCGGCGTGATGCCTCGTTGTAGCGGCGGTTTCCGGCAGCGACAGGCACCCACCTGTTCGGCAGATTCCGGATCAGTTCACACGGGTCACTCAATCAATAGGCGGGAACGGCTGTACCAGGGCTCTCGACTATTATATGGGTGTGGCAGTGAATGCCAATGGCTGAGAGTAGCCGTTTTTTTCTTTGATTTGCCCTTTTGACTCAGCTGCAAAAACTGTACATATTGATGCGTTCAAGTGAGAGACGTGTCGCATGCGGCATGACATTTGAGCATGCAATCTGCTCGAGCATTCGCACAAGGAAACCAATAAACGACAATTGTAATAATCTTTGGGTGACAAGGCAACGGGCGAATGGAAGCCCTGAGCTAATATAGGTCCAGGACGCATGCTCTGCAACTTTCGGCTAGTGTATTGGCTGAGCACACGCGGCTGTCATAGTCACGTGGGTGCTAATAGCACGGCCTGTGGAGCTGGGTTCGAATCCCAGGCCGACAATATAGCAGTAGGGTAAATATTTTTTTCTCTTTTTTCTTTGCACTTGATCCAACTGGAATGAAAATTTACAGCCGGCGTTTGTGCGTGGATCCAGCGCCTGTGCGCGTGATTATACGCGCACCCGCCTAGCCACACGCAGCATGGCTCAGATTGAGACAGTTGCACCACAACTCTCGGTCAGTAGTACACGCGCCAGTCGCTAGGCCCCGTGAAGCTCCACCAAAGGCTTGTCCGCCCGAAGGGTCCGATTTCGGCCTCAAAAACCCAATTTTTTTCGCCCCTCAGGCCCTCAAAAACCCAAAGTCGGACAAGGGTGGTCACGTGGAGGCCCCATAAATTTTCGCAAAAAAATGTTGTAAAACGAGGCGCAAGCGGAATTGAACCCACGCGTTAGCAAGCGCAAGCCATAACTACCACTGGACTATCACGACAATGCATTGTGGCTGAGCCAGGTGGCCAGCACTGCTGGGCCGCCCAAGTCCGCGGCCTACCTCGGCACAACTCGGCCGCATCCGACCTCGCCCGCCCTCAAAAACCCAACTCGCGGACAAGGGTTTCGGATTTCTGGCCTCAAAAACCCAAGTTTAGGACAAGGAAATCGTGAAATTTGGGCCTCAAAAACCCAAAATTTCGGACAAGCCTTTGGTGGAGCTTCACGGGGCCTCAGTCGCTGCATATCGTTCTCTTTATTAATAGTGCGCGAAAGCTGGGCGCCCCAGCGGCGGCGTCCGGCGGGAGTGTCTCAGTCCGATCGCGAGTCGCGCGTCAAGCATCCTGTTCCCAAGTGCTGGCCGCGGGGCACACCGTGATGTTGGGCTGCGAAGTACGTTGTCGAAAGGTATCCGTGGCGGCTCTTCACATTGCCGTGAGATACTGTTCTGAATCATAGCCAACGCCGGCGGTGAGGGTGCCAAAGTCAGCGCAGTGGCTATAATATGTATGCACTGAGCACTACGCGTAGTCGGGCATCGTTGTGGAATACTCAGGCTGGAATACAGATCGAGCAGCTTGTGAGGCATGAATAATTGTGCGAGGAGCAGTAACATCGCAAGAATCTCAACGAGCGCTAGCCAAATCGAGCACATGTTCTCTTCAAGTTGTCAACTGTACATTTCTGTCATCGCGAATGTCATCTAGCAATGTCTCAAGGTCCTCAGGGTCACGCGAATCTCGGGACGATCTCCTTCTTGATGAACTCCTCCATAGTCCCGAACTTCACCCCAAGCGCAACGAGCTTCGGATTCGGAACGGCCGTGTTCTTGTACATGCCAATTTTCGCTTGGAAGAGGAACTGTGCAGAAATAACATAATGTCAGCAGCGACACATTGCTCAGGAGCCAGAACGCACCATTTCGTCGACTTCCTCCAGCCCTGCGGTTTCGAGCGGCGTGAACGTCACCTCCTTCCCGATAGCTGCATGCAAAAGTCAGATTTCGGAATGCAGGCTAGGGCCACGCGGCGGCGGCACAGACGCACCTTTGCTGATCGCCGCGACGAACTGCGGGTACGTGAACTGCATGCTGATCACGGGGAACGAGCCGCCGAGCACGCCCGTGCGCGGGTTGGCGTAGTTGTTGATGAGCGCGACGGCCGCCTGGCCGAGGTCGTGGGCCACCCACGTTGCGGACTGCGGGTCCGACTTGCCGTACTTGGCGATCGGGACTGTGTAGCCCGTGTCCGTCTTTTGGAGCACGCTGTGTCTGGGTAGGCGCGGTGTTAGCGAGGGCAATTGGCATGACGGCGACGAGTCTGTGGGGGGACACACTTGAAGAGATTCTCGGCGAACCAGCCCGTGAGGAGCACTGCGAAGGGGACACCGGAGGCTCTGAGGTAGTCCTCGATCACTGCCTTGTCTGTTGGAAGTAGGTGAGAGAAATTCGTGAAGAAAAAAAGGAGAACACGTGCTGTCGCAGTGATATACGTGCGTGTACCGCCCGTTCGATTCTTTGGCTATGTTGGGGAGGGAGCTGGCGATATGTGACGTTGTGGAAATCAAATGGAATCAGACACTGCACGCACCTCCAAATGAAAAACTTGACGCCCTCCTCCTTCGCGGCGTCAACGAGATTCTTCCCCTGCGTGAGCTCTCCCTTGCCCTGCGGGTCCGCCGGGAAGATCGTGGGGTCCCAGAAGTTCGTGGTCTGCGAAAACGCGCCGGACGGCATGTCACGACGTGGCAGCGACACAAAGCGGTTGAGGCGCTCACCCCAAACACCACCTCGCTGCCGCGGATAGCCTTCTTGACGGAGTCCTTGTCGAAGAGGTCGCCTGCGACAACCTCGACGCCCTTCGCGATGAGCGCCTTGCTCGCGGCGGAGTCGGGGCTCCGCGAAACCGCGCGCGGGGTGAATTTTCCGTCCGCCAAGACGGCATCCAGCACGGCGGAGCCTGCGCGCGCGTCGATCGACTATAGTTGACAGGGCTGAGTGCAGACGTACCCTGACTGCCGGTAGCGCCAAAGATCGTGATAATAGGCATTGTGTTTCTGTGAGCAGCAAGGTCGAATCCTGGCCTTCTGGATGGCTACAGCCATTTTATAGGCCTTCTGAGACAGGGCTGAGTGAAGGGCCCTGGACTAAGCGTGTGCGCGTGAATAATCGCGGAAGGCCGACTTTACGGTTTCGAGCTAAGTTGCCGGCGGTGTTCCGTCGTTGCTGACAAATGACTGTATTCAAATTGCCTTCTAGGGTAAGTTTTGACAGTGTTCGACTTAAGGTTAAGGCTTAACTTAATTTAAGCCTTAATAAGCCTTTAAAATTAAGCTTAACGATGAGCCGGAATCGTCTTAAGGCTTAATTAAGGGTAATGATGGGATCAGAGACAGTGATCCCATCAAAAAAATGTCCCATGCAAGACCGTTGACGACAAGCTCCAGCCATGCTGGTGAAAAACAGAACTCAACCTACTACAAAGCATACTGTCTTGGCTGCATCGAAATTCACCGTCCTGACGAGGATTCTGCCAAGCCTCTGCTTGCGGCTCAAGCTTGGTTCAACACTGTTACATTTATCTACCTGACACGTTCCAGATAGCGGCATATAGCCATGGGTCAGACAGCTCATGTAGCTGCATAAGTTGTGCCCAAAAAGGATATTAAGCCCTTAATTAAGGGTTATTGAGCATTTAAGCCTTAACAATAATGGAGACCCTTAATAAGGGCTTACAGCAGTTCCTGAAAACCATGGCGGAAATCAAAATTCTTGCTCACGTTTCAACTTTTGATTGAGTGATAAGAGTTACCTTTTTTGGTAGGAATGGCAGCGCCGGGCTCTCACGTCTCGCTTCTGTACATGCGCGCCTCCGCCGCCGCTCCGCCTGCGCGCACCGCTGCCCGGCCTGCCTCTGCGCGCTCGCCGCCGCCCGCCCACGCGCGCGCCGCCTGTGTGTGTGCGCCACCCGCGCGCGCGCCCTCCGCCACCGCCCGCCGCCTGTGCGCACCGCGGCCCAGCCCCGCCGCCCTGTGCGCGCCCGCGCCCGCCCACCGCCGCCTGTGCGCGCCCGCCGCCTGTGTTGGGTGCCCCCACCGCCCGCCGCCCGCCGCCTGTGTGCCCCCGGCGGAATGGGCGGGCGGCGGGGACGCACGGGCGGAGGCGCGCAGGCAGCGGACAGCCCGGGCAGGCAGTGGGCAGTGCGCGCGGGACGGGCGGGCGGCGGGCGCGCAGAGGCGGGCTGAATAGCGGTGCGCGCGCGCGGCGAGCGGCGGCGGCGCGCGCGGGCGGCGGGATACAAAGGCGGCGCGCGCGTGGGCGGCGGAGGGCGGGGGGCGCGCAGAGGCGGGCTGGGCAGCGGCGCGCGCAGGTGCACCGTTGCCCGCTGCCTGTTACCTGTCGCGCGTCGCATATTTCCCGTCGCCAGTGTTGTCTGCATCATGCAAGACCTGGTCCGACGCACAGGGGGCGGCGGGCGGGCGCGGGCGGCGGGCGGCGGGCGCACAGAGGCGGGGCTGGGCAGCGGTGCGCGCAGGCGGCGGGCGGCGGGCGGCGGGCGCGCACACACAGGCGGCGGGCGCGTGGGCGGGCAGCGGCGGCGGGCGCGTGGGTGGGCAGCGGCGGCGGGCGGCGGGGGCGCAGAGGCGGGCTGGGCAGCGGTGTGTGCAGGCGGCGGGCGGCGGCGGCGGGGAGCGGGCGGCGGGCGCGCACACAGAGGCGGCGGGGGCGCAGAGGCGGGCTGGGCAGCGGCGGGCGCAGGCGGCGGGCGGCGGGGTCGCATAGGCGGGCTGTGCAGCGGTGCGCGCAGACGGAGCGGCGGGGGCGTACAAGCGGCGGCGCCGTACAAGCGGCGGCGCCCATGTACAGGACGGTCATCCCACGACCCAAGCGAGACGTGAGAGCCCGGCGCTGCCATTCCTACCAAAACAGGTAACTCTTATCACTCGATCAAAAGTTGAAACGTGAGCAAAATTTTTGATTTCCGCCATGGTTTTCAGGAACTGCTGTAATGTCAAACACTGAGTTTTGAAAATTTGCCTATTTAGGACGGAAAAGTTGAGCCAGGCCTCATTTAAGCGTAAGGCCGCTGCTACGCGGCAGGGCTCAGGATCAACCCTTCCCTTAGAAGCGGCTGCGAGCAACCCCCTGTCTCCTTTTATTTTTGAAGTGATAAATCATTACCTAAACCGAAAAATGTATTTTTATTATAAGGGGTAAGGCCGCTACGCAGGGCATGTCCACCCAGGATCAACCCTTCTCTTGGAAGTGGCTGTGCGAGCAACCTCCTGTCCTTTTTTTTCGTTTATGTCAGTGATAAATCGTTAGCTAGACCGACAAAAGTGTAAAGCTTTTCATTATGGAGCGAAAAGTCCTTCGGATTGAAAAGCTGTATGTCTGCGATACCCCGCTCGCGGATCAGAGAGATCTCGGATCCGAAGATGTACACCAGTCCAATAAGGATGAATGCGTCGCCGATGAGCGCGCTGGAACTGAGCTTGGAGCATGACTTCTAGGAATTCGTCCGGCTTGCACACAAGCAGAAAAGCTGAGTGAAGCTTGTTCATATCAAAA